CTGCCTAATGTCATGGCCCTGTGGGCGATGACCAGCCAGCCCAGAGACATCACCTGTGATTTTATGCTGTCCTGACCCAAAGATCGACCCAAGATCAGGCTCACCTGAGTGGGAGCTATTTCTGCTTCCGATCGCTTCATCTGGTAGCTGGTCTGGGGGACAAAATCCAGCATGATACATGTTGCAGTTCTTCCATGGAAAAAGCAACATATACCCCCATTAACCACCGAGTTGCTTAGGAGCCGGTGGTACCTTACACGGAGATATTCTGGGGATATTGCAACTTCTGGTCTTCCACAGCCACTTCTCAGGGGGATAGGCATAGAATCACAGAATGGTTTGGGTTGGAAGGGACCTTAAAGATCATCCAGTCCCACCCCCCTGCCATGGGCAGGGACACCTTCCACTAGACCAGGTTGCTCCAAGCCTCATCCAGCCTGGCCTTGGGCACTTCCAGGGATGGGGCATCCACAGCTTCTCGGGGCAACCTGTCCCAGTGCCTCCCCACCCTCTCCAGGAAGAACTTCTTCCTGATATCCAATCTAAACCTCCCCACTTTCAATTTAAACCCGTTACCCCTTGTCCTGTCACTACAGGCCCTTGTAAAAAGTCCCCCCCAGCTTCCTTGTAGCCCCTTCAGGCACTGGAAGGGGCTATAAGGTCTCCCCGGAGCCTTCTCTTCTCCAGGCTGAACAAGCCCAACTCTATCAGCCTGTCCCCATAGCAGAGGGGCTCCAGCCCTCGGAGCATCTCCGTGGCCTCCTCTGGACTCGCTCCAAGTGGTCAATATCCTTCTGATGTTGAGGGCTCCACAGCTGGACACAGCACTCCAGGTGGGGTCTCACAAGAGCAGAGTACAGGGGGAGAATCACCATATTTGCATACTTCCTAATTCCCTGCTTATTCTAAAAATAAATCTATATTTTATATTACTGCACACTTAATTTGAACTTTTATTTTGCTTACATAGTAATGAAATCAGTTTACATAATAATTCTCTTGTTCCCTTGACAGTCCTTACTGCCTAGACATGCTGGCTTTCGTTACCTTACATGAACCATTAATTGGAATCCGATGTTCTTGGCAGGAGTACAGTCACAAATGACAGTGTCATGCATCTGTGCTTACTGTGGGGGGAGTGTGTCAATTTTAATATGTGAGCAGAACCTCCAAATAAAATCAGTCTTAGGAAACAATTTTGGATATAGGCTGTTATTGCAATAATCAGGAAAATAAACAGTTCTTCAAAAAGTAATTTTCCCAGGATATCACTGGGAGTCTCTTTTGAGATGTCTAGGTGTTAGTATTTTCTAGATGATTCTCTACACTTTTTTTGAGGCACATTACCAGCTTACCCTTTACAGTTGTAGAGCACTGAGTGCAACAGGATCCTGCTCCGTGGGCCAGGCCTCCAGGATGTAACAGGAATAGAAACAGATACCCTTCATTTCCTCTAACTACAAAACAACATGATGGTTATTGTTGAAAGCAAGGTGTTAGTTGTTTAGCTGCAAAATACAGGGAAGTTTCCTCCTCACAAAGAAGAAAATCCATTAATTTTAGAAGATTCATACCGATGGGTGACAGGGCGAGGCTTTGGGCCCGGCAGGGTTTGACTTGGTGGCAAATGGCCATGTCCTTGTTTCAGTCCTCTCATCTTCTGATGGGGGCTGGTGGCGATTCAGCCATTAAAAAAAATGCTGTTTGTCCTAGTTTTCATAAACAACCAAAGGAGACTGAGAACCGTCAGCTCCTGGACCTGATGGCCGCGGTGGCTGCCATGGTGACGAGTGCCCAGAGAGCAGATGTCACTTGGGATGCTGAAGCCATAGTCTGATTTATGTCTTAATCCAGCGCTGTTCTCAAAAGAAGGAATTGTGTCATCTCCCCAGCTTGGTCACCCTTTTGCTTCCCGGCTCGCCTCATTCCCTGCCCCTGCTCGTGTCCTTCAGCCTCGCGGCGGGTTGGGCTGGGGCTTCGCAGGGTGTGCACGGCCACGTACGCCCCATAACCAGAACCCGGCGCTCTCCCCTTCCATTCCGTGCATCTCCTGGTGAAGGCCTTGCTAGCCTCTGTTCAAAGGGGCCGTAGGTGGTCTCTGCCACAAGCCCACCCACAGGTGTCCTGTCTTTGAAAAGCTGAGCAGTGTTACCCTTTCTCTGAAGGCCTGTTGGAGATGTTTTCATGGAAGAGATGCAGCTGCTGCCATTTACACAGCGACTTCAGTGCCCGCAAAATCCAAAGAGCAGGAGGTGAAGCCACGAGCCAACACAAGCTAGAGTTGAGGTGGGAGGGGGGGAATATCAAAAAGGGTTTGTGAGTTCCTTCTAGGGAAGTTAAAATTTTATTTTTGGGTGAGCAGAAGTTTTCAGGTGCCTGGGGGGCCCTCCTAGCATCGCTGATCCTGCGTTTCTGAAGGAGTTTTCCCAGTGTGAATCCCACAGTCTTGCTCCTGGACCGTAATCATAGAATCACAGAATGGTTTGGGTTGGAAGGGACCTTAAAGACCATCCAGTTCCAACCCCCCCTGCCATGGGCAGGGACACCTTCCACTAGACCAGGTTGCTCCAAGCCTCATCCAGCCTGGCCTTGGACACTTCCAGGGATGGGGCATCCACAGCTTCTCTGGGCAACCTGTCCCAGTGCCTCACCACCCTCTCCAGGAAGAACTTCTTCCTGATATCCAATCTAAACCTCCCCACTTTCAATTTAAACCCGTTACCCCTTGTCCTGTCCCTACAGGCCCTTACAAAAAGCCCCCTCCCAGCCAGCTTTGCGGAATGGGACCGCGAGCAGCCCAAACAGTGCCTTGCTGTACGGAGCTATCTGAAGTGGGCGTTCGAGGCTTGATCGTCACACCTCGCGTTAAACCTCTGTTCTTTTAAGAAAAGGCAAAAAAATGCCGCGGCTGTGCCAGGGCTGCCTTCAGAGGATGCTTGCCATTGTTTTCCTCCCTGCGCGTCCGTCTTTCTAGCATCTGTCTTGGATTGACTGCCTCGGAGAAGGCATTTCGAGTAGGACAGAAGAGAAGCGTACTTAAAAGCCAAATTACGGGTTGTTTGTTGTAAAGCAGCCGATAGATAGTTGGCAAGACACCAAAAGGTCCAGACACTAATCTAATTGTTTACAGCTCGTGGAGAGATTAATCCGCAAGATTGGATGCCCTCATTTCCTTCACGCATTACAATGAATGTGTGAGATGCCAAACCCCATGGGGCAGCAGCAGCAAGAAAAATGGCTCCTTTTCAGTGCAGTTATTGTTTCAAGTTTAGAAATATATTGATTCTCTTTGGGTTTTGATAAGAATATAAAGGCAAAGTGCCTCGCTTAATATCCGAGTGTTCTGGTTTCTTAGCCACAGTAAAACAAAATTGTGCTTTCTCATTTTTAGCGTGCTAGAACGCTATGCAAAATTCAGAGCAAACACATGAAATAAGATGTTATCGGATTCACAGTGAAAATGGTGAGGATACGCGTGCTGGCTTGCGAGGGCACCGAGCACTGCAAATGCTCCGCGTCTCCGAAAAACGGGCAAACCTGCCCGCGGCGGGCCAGGGTGGTTCCCTCTGAGTCTTGGCCGCTGTAAGATGCGTTGGAACAGAAGCTCCGCGCAGGGAAAAGGGCTTCGCCTGGGTCACCGGTGAGAATAAAACAAACCCTGCTGAGGGCCTGCTGCAAGCAGGATTTCTGTGAAATAGGCTTTCTCTGAGCTGAAAGTGGAGCTGTAGACACTGTAAAGAGGGAGTGATTCAACGAGACAGGTTGTGCTCCCGCCGCTCTCCGACCCCTGCGTTGGCGTGGCAGAAACGCCGGAGCACAGCCGTGCTGGGACGTGCTGCCCCGGCTGCCAGGCACCGAGGGTAGCACCGGGCACTGTGCTGTGTCCTGGAGAAAGGGGTTGGTTCCTCCTCGTGACACCAGTCACCCTGCTGGTGATGCTGAAAGAGTCGCCCCTTCTGCCGGCAAGGAAAGTTACCGTGACTTCAGCCAGAAGCAAGATTTGGGAATGCCGCCTGGAGACCAGCTAAAGGACCCCTTGGTCTTGCAGACCCGTTAACCTCTGAGGATCTGAAGCAGAGAAGTTCTCCAGCGAAGCGTGTGTACGTGCTTGCAAGCCAGTGGGCCCATGAGCTGTTTGCTGGCCGTCACAATATTTTCTTGATGAAGTTTTGCTACAGTTGCAAAGAACTTTCAAAAAGCTAATGGGATTGAGGTATATTTATCCCCGATGTTGCAATACCTGGCACATTTTGGGGGAAGAAAATTAATATCCTGAACTAGTCTTCGCAGTGTTTCTAATTCCTTGACTAAGCACGTCCTCATATATCATTTTACGTTACCAGCTTTTGGGAAGAAGAGAATGTTTTGCTAGTCAGGACTTGTTTTGACTTAGTTTTTAATAATATCAGTCAGCACCATGTTGCCTGAAAGTCTGAATCTGACAAAAGTTTAGTTTTAAATGGGCTGCTTTTATGAGGTCATGTGTAGACTCATTGCTCCTGAATCAAGATCATAAATGTGTAATTTTAATAACATAGAGTGAGAAAAAGCATTTGCATATCCTTGGAGAAATGGTTCTCCGCTGCATAGTTGGGCTGTTTCAGCTGTGACGCGGAGGGGGCATTTCAAGATCTGCACGCCGCCTAAAATACTGCGCTTCGCAAGGGAGGGTATAAACGGCACAAGCAATTATTTTTCCTCTGTAGCGCAGGACTTCTGCCAAGGTAGGGAGTAACAGTACCGAGCACATCCAAAGCCAGGATTTCTGTGGTACGAAACCTAGTTTGGATGTTGAGTTGAAAGCTGACCTCGCTGTATTGGCAGTGAAATGGGGGGCTGATGAGAGAGAGGTGGGTGTGTGGCACGGCTTCAGTCCTCCGCTTCCTGATTATGTTTTGTACTTTGGGTGTCGTAGGGAGCAGTCAGCGTAGGAGGGTCTCGATAAACCCTCAGCCGCGGGGTTGCCTTTCCGTCCACGAGAACTGGTGTTTCTTCCGCAGGGAGTGGAGCGCATTGACCTGCCGGGGCTCAGGAGCCTGCGCACCGCCCGCAGCCTGGAGCAGGGCATGGTGCTGACCATCGAGCCGGGCATCTACTTCATCGATCACCTCTTGGACCAAGCCCTCCGTGACCCTGCGCAGTCCTGTTTCATCAACAATGACGTCCTGCAGCGCTTTAGAGGATTTGGGGGGGTGAGTAATTCTAACCAGAGGGTTTTCTCAAATTGCTTTTCTGTTTATTTGCCCTTACTACGTACTTGAGAAGAGCTCTTTTGAAAGTTGCAAAGTATTGCAGGTAGGGCTGTCCCCGTAACAGGCCTTTGGGCCGTTCGACCCTGCAGACAAACTGGGTTGCTTTGGGTTTTTTAAGTGGTGTTTTATATTTGTGATACCTAATTAACGGTAGATCTGTACTTTTCCATCAATTGAAATACCTTCTGTCAGCACTGTACAGTGACGTGCCAGGTGGGTGTTGTGTCTGTTGTGTGACGTCACGCAACACGAGACCGAGATCTTTATCCCAGCGTTAGCTTCCCTGGCAGCAGCATGGTCCGGTGCTCCTTCCCAGGGCAGAAGCCTGATGCTGGTTAACAGGTCTGCAGCGGTCAGGGAGGCAGTGGAGGAAAATGGCCATAATTGCTCTGAACGGCATGAAACTTGTGAATTTAAACCCTTCCCTGTTCCCCAAGGGAACGGCCGATGGCCTTCAGGAGCACCCATGCTCAGGGTGCGGCGTTGCAGGCGCCGGCAGCCGTGTGCGCGCAGGACGGTGGGCTGACTCGTTGGTAGCCATGGTCCGGGCGATCGTTCCCATGCCGGCGGCTGCTGTGCTAGCCGAGGGGCCTTCCTTCTCCGTGCTCGCCAGGGCACATTTCCCATTCCAAGGCACCGCCCTCGCAGTTGCAGTGGCTTCCAGTGGGTTTTCATTCTAGCGGGACGAGCATTTGAAGGGTGCCGCATTGTTCTCGGAGCTTCCGTTTTCATGCACGCAGAAGATAGAGCAGGCAGCTGCGATGCCCGTCCTCCTCGTGGCTGCTCTGCTGAGTCTCAACACGGCTAACAATCACTGGCAACAGCGGTGATTCTCTGGTATGAAAAGTCACTCATTAGGAATTGTCTGCTGCTGCCATCGACTAATTTATCACTGTACGCCAGCCATGAGAGGGTAATTACTGTAACGCTTTCGGTCTGAGCTGGCTTTGAAGCGCCAACCCCAACGGAAAAGCTGTGTGTGCCATCGGCAGTCGCGTGAGTCAGCCGGGCTCCTGGGCAGCCGCCCGGGGAGACTCCCAGCCTTAGCCGGGCTGTACCCTCGCCGGTGTTCGCTTCACTGCCGAGGTTTGGGACGTTACCTGTCTGAGCGTTGTTTCCGTGGCAAGACTTGCCAGCCAGCCAACCGAGACACCAGGGAATGAAAGGCAGCTAAACCTGCGTCTTCTGACCTGGTATACGGCACCGCCCGCTGAAGCGGATTTTAAAAGAACACTGCCATGCACATGAGTAGCTTGACACCGCGACAAACCAGGTTGAACTATCTTTGCTTTCCTTGTAAACACTCTGTGGGAGTTTTTCAGCACTTGAATTGATTCCTGGTGAGCTTTCTCTGGAAACGCTCAGCAAAGCCCGCGTTCTTCCATGCCTTGCTGTGAATGCCCACTCCAGCTCTGCAGCTCGGAGCATGCACGTGGCTCACCTGCTGCTTGTGTTTGCGTGGAACAGGAGTGACAGCACAGGGACTCTGCCTTGGGAGTCAGTTGCCTGAATCCAGGCACTTTTGTTCCAGAGATTTCAAGCAAAGTCTAACTTTCTGCCTGGTTTTTTGCTTAGCTTCCTGTAACGATGCCTTGTAAGGAGAGCTAGCCAACAAAATTTGCTAAAAGGGGGGAGCTGCCCAAAAACGATTGAGCAAAAATCTAAATCTCTGATCCCCTTGTGAACAATACATTTTACTTAGAGAGAAAAAAATAATAATGCACACAAACCCTGAGCCAGATGTTGTCACTTGATGTTGTCCAGGAGAAGAATGGAAATAAAATCGGAGACTGAAGTACATCTGAATATTTCTGAATTCTACACAAAAGCTGAATTATAATGCAATCAAAATGAGCTTTTCCATCTTTACAGTTCTGACTTGATTCTGCATAAATAGAAGACGCAATTTTTGCTCAGTAGTGTGCTTAGTTATCTGCATGCTGGTTCATTCTGGTTTATCCAGAACGAGTGAGTATTTCTCTCAAAAGCATGTCAGAAAACTTTCTCTCTATGCAATTAAAAGAAGATCTTGTGAATCCCAGTGCTTTTACTGACAAATACTCGCAGTATGGGGATTAGAACTGGTGTCAGTGCCAGCTGAAGAGCCCACGACAGCCAGTCCAATCTTACTTTAAAAGAAAAATACATTCTACAAGAGGAAGTCAGTCGTCCGTTGCCCTCTGCAGAGCTCAGCACTAATCAAAATGTTCTTAATTTGGTTTAGTGTAATTCACTTCAAAAATGAACTTACACTAACCAAAGTAACACCCCTGTAATTCTGAGTAGGGCTGTCCACCCACGGGACTTGTGGATTTTAATGAATTCACCTTGAATTCATGTCTTTTGGGGGCTTTGGATAATTTTGTTTGCGGTGATGAGTCTCTGTGTTGGGAGCAGCAGCTCTTTGCCATGCTGCAAAGGGCAGGTCTGCAGCCATTTCTGTAATTCACGCTGCCCGGTGCTAGCCATGAAGAGACCGTAAAAGCTGGCAGCGCAGCCAGGAGGAGACGGCGTGAGGTTGTCCTCGACCCCTTCTGCATGGCTGCCGGCGCGCGGGGCGCGTGCTGGTGGCACCCCACAGCTCTTACACGTGGGTCCGCGGCAGCCCGGCCTTCCCGCAGCGCAGACACCCCGTGCAGCGCAGACACCCCGGCTTGGTGGCTGTAGCTGCTGCTCGGGACCTCATAACCTGGGCTTTTGCCAAACAAGAGCTGTTCTGGGTCAAATGCTGATCCCTCTGGAGGGAGGCAAGCGCTTTGGCTGGGGGATCTGCTTCTGAGAGCTCGGGCTGCCCTCTCTGAAGCCCTAAACTCTCGCCTGACAGCCGTTGGGTTCAGCTCTTCGCAAGCTTCCTCGGCCAATTTTGGGAAGTCGCTCGGTCACGCGTTCATCGGTTCTCCATCTGCAAAGCTAAGGACCAGTTTACCGAGGTCATAAATTCTGTGGGGCAAAGGCTGCCGTCGGGCGCTGGCGCAGCGCCTGTCCCAGGGCACCTCTGCTCTGCCCGGGCTCTGCCCGTGCCGCGCTTGTGGAGAAACAGAGACGTGCAGATAGGGGTAGTGTGTAGGGTTGCATGTATTGCTCGGGAACAGCGGCGATTCCTTAGGGAAGGGGAAGTGCCGGCTCCAAATGCTGCCCTTTAGGGTTTGACATTTCCATTCTTCATAAGCTGATTGCTGATTCATGCAGTTCGTATGATGTTTTCTCAAACACCCAGTAAAACCGCTCAGTCTTTTGTTAGCCTTAAATATTCAGTCTCTGTTCAGGCTTTATTTTCCCCTTGTTTTTTTGTAGAACTAGCACTAGACTTGCTGTGTGGAAACTTTGTGCAACTTAGAGAAAATGCTCAAAGACGTGTTAAACACATTATTTCGTTTGCAGATTTTTTTTTAAAACAGATTTACAAAGCCCAGGACCTTGAAGATCTGCCAATATTACAGTATTTTTCAAAACAAGAGCACTTACCTTACTCAGGAGCAAGGGTTAAACCAAATCCAAGGCGGGATATTTAATTGCTTCTGCCTTTGGTTCACAGAATCATGCAGGTCTCTCTGCCCCGATTTTTGGTTTTTAGAAAGCTGAGCTCTGATTCTGGGTTGATGGTGAACGTGTGTTGTGGAAGGAAGTAGTTTACTGGGCAGTAAACATTCTAACGCTCACCTGCTTTTTAACATTTCGTATTACGCAGCAGTAATAAAGCTGCACAGCATCTTTTGGAAAAATTTTCACAGAAAAGCAGTTATAATGAACTACGTAGCTTTCTTTAAAGTTCTTGTAAGAGAAGTGGCAGTTGTAGGCAACCCAAAACCAGTGACTAGTTGCTTATAAACCTTCTTTAACCATTTTCTCTTGTCTAATTAATGTGATTGGGTTAAAGTTAGAGCAGGTGTTTCTAATCTTTATTTAACTTGTAATTTATTGCTTCTTCTTGAGCCTGGCTGAAGGGACTGTGTGCCTGAAGCTTCTTTTTCCAGTCGTTATCAATTGACCTAATAAAATACATGGCCTCACCTTAGTAACCTCGATCCTCTTTTATAAAATGTTTATATGTGGACCTTTAAAATAAACTGTGCCTGACATGAGGACTTGCTTGTGCAGAAGAGGGAAGACTGGCAGCACGGGGCCCTGTGTAGCACGGAGGCTGTTAGCATCTATAGAAAACGCCTCAGCGTGGCCACTTCATGGAATGTGGGAACGGGAACATGCCTTCCCCAGCCCTGCAGCGTGGCTGCTCACCCCTGGGTTTGGGGTAAGGGCAGCTCTATTTCTAAACTGGTTAAGAAATACAGAGGTCGAACACTCCTCATGGTAAATTTGCTGTATTGAAAATTATTGGTGAGTCAAAGGCTGAGTCAAAAGAAGCCCCCTTGGCTACATGCGTCTGCCCCTGTAGAATACCAGCTATAAAAACAGGCACATGGACCCTTTAGCCCGACAGAAACACATGTGCTAATTTACTCTTTGGGGTAGCCTGCGTGGACCACATCCTGTCATCGTTTCCCAGGCAAGTCTCCCGCTCTAAGATCTTGCAGTGATAGTATTGCTGCTTTCCACAGCCATAATCAAACAAATGCTCGCTAGATGTAAAAAAAAAAGGAGACATGTCACCAGTGGTCTTTTTCAATCACATCTGGGATCTGTCATCGTGCAAATCTGGACTATTTAATTGGCCAAAATTGTTTCTTGATTCTCAAAAGCCTTTTATATATATCATCATCCAAAAGAAATGAATGAGTGCTACAACCCCCTTCCCTTGGAATATGACACAGGAGGCTCTGGGGAGCATGACTGTATCAGTAAGTCAGGACAAAGTGCGAGGCTGTATATATATAGCTGACAGCATCCTCGGAATTTAACTCCTGTGCTGTCCTTGGCTATGCCCACACAGCCCTGCTTTGGGACGGAGTTGGGTCCATTGAGTCAAGCCACGTGATGGTCTGTTGCTGGCGTTAGGCGGTTGTGCAATCAGGTCTATCTGGACAGATCATGCCATTACCCTTGATAAGAAAAAGGCATTTTAGGGACAGTCCTGCCATTCCTGGCCACTCCACCTCTGCAGGAGTGCTTTTTGAAGCATGCCTGTTTCACACCGACAAAGCAAAGCCTCCCCCGGGCTGTTTGCAGGGCGCCCTGAAAGCTGCTGGTGCAGTGAACCTCGCACCTCGGTTTGCTGTTCCTTTAAGCCGTGTCCGATTCCAAACCGCTCTGTGGCCCTGAAACAAGCAGCACTGTTGAACAAAGAGCCTGCAGACAGGGACAGCTCTGAGAGCAAGTTTCATAACTGCTGTCCCCCACTGGGAGAGGCCATCCCGAGCCAGTGAGCCTTGCCAGGCAGATCCAGCATCTTTTGTCCATTTGGACAGAAGACAAGACCAAACGCCGGGCTCTCCTGTAGGAAGGTTTTGCAGGTCCTCTGAAGCTGCTGCTTGCTGCTGCTGAGTGTAAGCTCAGGGTGAAGTGTGGAGGGTGTGAAGGAAAAGAGCAAACGCAAACATTTCCTCCCCCTTGAGAACCTGTGCTCCTCTGCATGTCAGTGTTCCCTGTTAGAGCAAGCACCCGTTTCAGGTCAGGTCATCCAGGCAGAGGAACACTGAAATCCTGGAGAGCGAGCTGGAGCTTTCCTGGGAGCGATGGTTCTGTGTGCCTCCAGCTACTTCCTGTAGAGCATTTGATGGCAAGACGGCTCCTACCCGTCTTTCTGCAAGACGATGAGGTGCGGTGAGCACTCCGAACTGATGGGCTCTCCCGTCTTCCCCCGTCTGGCAGCTCAGGCTTAGGCGGCTCCAGCACCCCTTATGCTGTCGTCATTCAGGGTCTCTCGCTTCCCACCTCCACCGAGATCTCCCTTCCTGGACTCCTTAGCCAGCCTCATCTCTCGTTGTCCCTTCTCCCTGTTGCAGAGTTGCCCGTTTCCAGGCTCTGTTCCAGAATTTTACCTCTGCCGCCATTGTTTGTCAATCCCATCTCACCTCACTGTACCTTCCTTCCCACGGCTCCTTTCATCACTCTAGGTCCATTTTCCAGCTCCTTTCCCATCCCTTCCCATCATGACCTTGATAGAGCAGAGCATTGGCAGATGCCTTGTCCCATCTCTTAGCCTGGCCCCCGTCTGCTCTGCTTTCAAGTCAGGCCGCCCACCCAAAGAGTGCCGAAGTGCTGGTGAATCAGAGAATCACAGGATGGTTTGGGTGGGAAGGGACCTTAAAGATCATCTAGTTCCACCCCCCCTGCCATGGGCAGGGACACCTTCCACTAGACCAGGTTGCTCCAAGCCTCATCCAGCCTGGCCTTGGACACTTCCAGGGATGGGGCATCCACAACATCTCTGGGCAACATGTTCCAGTGCCTCACCCCCCTCTCTGTGAAGAATTTCTTCCTGATATCTAATCTAAACCTCTCTGATTTCAATTTGTACCCATTACCCCTTGTCCTGTCACTACAGGCTCTTGTAAAAAGTCCTCTCCCAGCCCCCTTGTAGCCCCTTCAGATACTGGAAAGCTGCAATGAGGTCTCCTCGGAGCCTCCTCTTCTCCAGGCTGTCTCATGTGAAAGCACGAGACACACAGCTGGACACCACCAACCTTTGGTTTTGGGGTTTTTGGCTAATCTTACGGGCTAAGCAGATGAACTGTGGCTGGTGTTCCTCTGCAGCAGATAGGTCGGGGAGTTTCAGCTCGAGGAGGTGAAGCTTTGTGAAGCCGGCGGTGCTCTCCCTTCGCAGGGCTCAGCTCTGGCTTTGGCCGGCCTCGCCTCTGCTCTTGGACTTAGTTCTGCGCTGACACCTTTACTTCCCACGTCGACGCTGCGCCCAGCTCCGCTCACACCGCTGCGCTGGCCAGCGTGAGGCTTTGGCTTTTATCAGATCTGTCCCCTGGCTTCCAGCACTCGCGCAGGGCTGCTGCGGGGTGGAGGGGACGACTCACCTTTAGATCTTACAGAATCCTTGGCTTATTTTATGCTCAAATTTGGCTGAATTCAAAGCAATTAATTAAAAAACCCACCCTGGTAAAACCTATTCGAGTCCATAGGGTCGCTCAATGTGTTGCTGCTTTCCGCCTCTGCGTCTTCTGCCCTGGCCGTTCAGGCACACGGAGCATGAAGAGCCTCACGGCTTCCAAATTCCCAGCTGTCCAAACGAAATGTGTGAACTCGATGGAGTTTGTTTATTTAATTCGGCTTTATAATACACTTAACTTGATACCGAGTAAAAGAAACAATCTGGCAAAGGCATCATTAAACAGTTTAATAAGGACTGGATGACTCATTTTGTTTGAACAAATGGATTATTTTGCAATCAGAAGTACAAATGTTAACCAGCTTTATTTTTAGTTGAAAATGTCAAGAGGTCAGAAACAATTAAAGCAACTGTAAGGTGGGAGTCCCCAGAGTTTGTGTTCTCTTGGATTTACACCTTAATAAAATTGCTTTTATTGCAGTTGGGCGGCTTACTGGCATTTTTCTGATAAGATAATGGGAGATGGCTGTGTAGGCATATTTACTGGTAGGAAGAGATTAGAGTCAAGCAGAAATGGTGCATAGTTTTCATTTTAGCAGAGCAAGAGCTGTAAACTGAGAGGATCTGCTTCTTCCCTGCATGATTTGAAATGTAGTGATTGTGTTTGAAAAGGAATGTCTGACATGCCGAGGACGTTTTCATCAGCTCAGAATTCAATGTTTTGAGTATCAGCTACAAGCTGTTTCATGTTGCAGTTCCTCCTTTAAAAGTTTATTGTGTTCAGAGGAAAGAGAATGTGATAGAATCACAGAATCACAGAATGGTTTGGGTTGGAAGGGATCTTAAAGATCATCCAATTCCAACCCCCCTGCCATGGGCAGGGACACCTTCCACTAGACCAGGTTGCTCCAAGCCTCATCCAGCCTGGCCTTGGACACTTCCAGGGATGGGGCATCCACAGCTTCTCTGGGCAACCTGTCCCAGTGCCTCACCACCCTCTCCGGGAAGAACTTCTTCCTGATACCCAATCTAAACCTCCCCACTTTCAATTTAAATCTGTCACCCCTCGTCCTGTCCCTACAGGCCCTTGGAAAAAGTCCCCTCCGTGGGATGTTTGAGAGCAAGGAGCAGCTAACTGCAGCTCAGCACCAGGACTGCTTCGAGAACGGGCACTTGGGCAGCCGCGGGCACCGCTGTTGAACCTGGCTCCAGCAAGCCAGGCTCTAGTAGGGCTGGAGGGAGATTCAGAGGGAAAAGTTCCTTTTGCTGCTCCTGATGTCCAAAGGTTGAGATTTATCGGCCCCATGTAATGATGCGGCACAGGCTCACTGGTGCTCAGCCTGTCCCTGGTGTGCCCAACGTAGCAGAGGCGTCACCGGTGGTGCCACCACCTCCTGTGGGGCTGCTCTGCCAGGGCTCACCGTGGGGCTCGTGTGATCCAGGGGGGCAGTAGCCCACAGCCCAGGGAGGGTTGGACCCTGCAGAGCTCTGCACCAGGTGCTGCTGGGGACGGGCAGTTCCGGTGCTTGCTCTGCCTGGTGTTGCATCAAGGCGCCTTCTGCTCCCGTCCTGCTGCTTGTCCCCAGCTGGAAAACCTTGCTAACCGCCTGTTCTCTGTCACAGGTCCGCATCGAGGACGACATCGCAGTGACAGCCAGCGGAATGGAGCTGCTAACGTGCGTCCCACGTACTGTTGAAGAAATAGAGGCTTTCATGGCGGAAGGCCAAAGCAGTGCCAAGTCGTTTGAGTGCCTCTCCAGCCAAAAGCAGTAAACTTCAGGATGATGCTTACTGTCTCACACTAATCACTCATCATTCTGATTTAATGCTGCAGCATATAAAATACAACGCATCCAATTCTTAATAGCCAGAGAGGCAGGCAGGCTGTTAGCTGGAATGATTCATGCATTAAAAATGGAGGTGGAAGGCTTCAGCGCTCGATACCCAGGTAGCTCAGGTGCTGCTGCTTGCAGCCAGCAGTTCACATTACCAAGTGCCACCAGAATAACCCTGCTGCACCGGCAGTGGGGTTTATACTTCCGTCAGACCTCAGCTGAGACGTACCTCGCAGATAAAGCTGAATGTTGAGGGTAGGAACTCTTTAAAATACCAAATGGGTTATCTGAATGCTGCCAGCACTCTCAGTCCTTTTACAAACTTAGCTCAAGTACTGCGAAAAACATAGAAGCAAACTCAGCGGTTCTCGGTGGGCATCATGACACTCTTTTCTTACAGCTCTTATTTCAGTGTCAATGGAGTAAACGGAATCAAATTTTTATTAAAATTCACCCTTTGCATCATTTATGCTCACCAAGTGGTGTTCATTTTGCTCTTCTGGTCCTGTTCCTGCTGCTTTATCTGACCTTTCTACCAATGTGTGCTCTGGAAACCCTGACCCTTCGTTAGCTCTGGGTGTACTGATCCTTCATACGCGGCCCGATGCTTATTTAGATTTGCCCGCCCGTTTGTGCCTTGAAAACGCAGATTGCTGTGGTGTTCACCAGCCTCAGGAAGCGCAGGGAGGGCGCATCTCTGCAACATGTGCCGGGCAGTGACAGCTGGTTTTAACTGTCCGCTGTTAGCCGGCTCCGAGTGAATCATGCAGATTTTAGCTGGATACACCACAAACATATTAATAATGGTCATAAAATTATTTTCTACTCACGCGAGATCTAAATTACCCAGAGAAGCCTTTCGTTACTATAGGTGTCCATCAGCCTGCAAGGAGAAACACACTTCTTGTGTCATAAACCAGCACTAGCTGCTGTAAGTACACAGACACACTCTTGCTCACCTTGTGAACATGCGGAAACTCCGGTGTTGAGGCCCCACTGCACAGGCTGACTGCAGAGCCGCTTCGGAACATCCCTCTGCGGTGTCGGGAGCGGGCAGCTGAAGTCACAGCAGGATGGCAGGGCCTTCCTGGCTCTTACGGCTTGCCGGATGAGGATTTTCCCCCTGCGGAGGGCCCGGCTGACTTGCTCTCGGCAGCTCGTTTCTGCTGCTCGCATCCTGGAGCTGGCATGCAGGCAGTGGGGCCAGCTGTGAGTGCCTGTCTTCCATGGGGCCTACAACACAACGCGGGCTTGGATGGTGTTGGAAAGTCCCGTGTCGCTGCGGCCGTGCCCCCCACCCGGCACTGGATTTAGGTCTGAAATAACCTCCTTAAAAACTGGCAAATGTGTTGCTCTGCAGAGAGCTCTTTTTGCTAATGAGGTTGATCTGTGTGACCAGGCCCTGCTCTTTATTCGCCACAGCCTGGTGACCCATTGCTAAATAGGAAACTGCATGTCGGCGACTGCACAACACATTGTGAAACAGGGGACTCCGCTCCTCATTTTTAACGTCACGTGATTCACAAATGAGCCTGTTGACATTGTTTTTAAGGTTGCTCGGCGTTGGTTTGTAGAAGGTGAGTGTGGGAGGCCTTGAGGGGTGAGGAGGGGAGGTGCGAGATCAGCAGCTGGTACGTGCATCCTTCCGCGGGGGCTGCAGGCCTCGCGCCTCGCACGGGGGCCACCGGGCCGTGCTCGGCTGGCTTTGCACAGCAGAACGCGCAGACTGCGCTGGCGCTGCTCCACACTCCCCTCAAGCTCCGGAGGTTTTTCCAGTGCAAGGTGGCGTTGGCGGCCCCCGGCCTTGTTCTCACCGCGTCCGAGCGCGTTCCTGTGGCGTGCACTGAACACGCCCATGGGATCGCTCACTGCTTTGGGCACTCTGAAACCTGCCGTTGCCCGGGTTCCGGAGCAGTTGCTATTTTAAAGTAACTCTTCACAGGCTGGGGTTTTTTTAAGGAGGGTTTTGGAGTGGTTTCAACGAAGCCGTAACCCAAGTCTCGTTAATAGGCCTTTCCCTGGCTGTGATTAATGTTGGCAAACGCCGGGCTCTGCTGCGGCAGAACAGGTTGAGCGGTCTGGCGCGCTGCAGGAGGCAGAACTGGTTCTGTTTGACATGTACCAGCAGACAACCGCTGCCGCGAGTTCTGGGGGGGCAAGCACTTGCTCACGTAACCGGCCTCTCTGTTGTTCTGCTTGCCCGAGACATGGATGCGTTTCGGTCTGGGGTGGCGCTTCGTCTCCCAGGTAATCCGGCCCGTGAGCTTGGCGACTACAAATGTCATCCTTCCTGACAGAAGGCGGTTCTGTAATCACGGTAGTTTTTATCTACTTAAACAAAAAGTGAATTAGAACTTGGGGCGTGGGGGGAGGGGAAGGAAGTAGGCCTTTAAAAAAAGGCAAAAGGATACACTTAAAAGGTATTAGCGGGGCAAGGGTACAGGTTACGGCGAACTTTCTGACTACATGAGGATATTTTAGGCTGCTGACTACGCTCTTTCCCCCAGTGCCTTTTCTCCCTGGTGCAAACAGGCTCTATTCGAGGATGCACTCGGGGTGTATCTGCCAGGGCAGTTACACTGCAGCAGCTACAGGTACCGTTCATGTGGTAGAACCTCCTGGTGCTCGCGGAGGCTGGAGTAGCCACTTCTTGGTGGTACAGGGAGAAAATGGGAATAAGGTTTCCTGGTGAAACCTCCGGTGCGGTAATGCTTGTAGTGACGGGCACGGTGTTGTGCCACAGACTCTAGCTGCTGTCAGAATGTGCCAGCAGGCAAACCCTGGCTGCGTAGCTGTGTGTTTATTGCAGCCTTCCCTTAGGAAGTGGGGTCACCCGAGCCAGCTCAGGACAAGCATCCCCCCGTGCCTTCAGTGGAGGGGCAAGACGGGCGACTTGCCGTCAGGCAGCCTGGGCTGCAGCGCCTTGGGGCAGAGAGGGAAAGCCTGCCTCTCCCTTGGCTCCTCGGGGGTCAGAAGCGGCTGTTCTGGCAGGAGGGGGCCTAGAATAATAGACTTAACACCTTTCTGGCAACCAAACGCTGAGGGCAGGCTTAGAACGGTGGTTTGTTGCGTGGCGGGCCCGTGGCTTGACATGTTGAAGCGATGTGCTGCGCGCTGCCCACGTGCTTCCCTAGGCGAACCAAGTGCGGGGACTGCTTCGCCAGAAACGTCACTGTGCAAACCAGCGGCGGAACTCGGTGGGTTCGTTCTGAACAAGGAGGAAGTGAAATTGGAGCTGTCAGGAGTAGCAGGTGGAGAAGTCACCCTCCAGAGCTCAGAAGGAGTACTGTTCCCACTCGGAGAGCTTTTAGGAACTATCTTCCCCCCAAATCAAGAAAAAATAGCAAAGATTTGGAGGCCCTGTTCTCATTCTCCGGGGAAGACCGCACACCAGCCTGCCAGCCCAGCTGCAGGGAACAGGGCCACGGAGTCCCCATTCACAGCAGCCAGGGAAGAGACTAGTCCCTGCCTTTGGCACCAGAGTGGGTGCCCAGGTAACAAGTGAGATGCTTTCAGGACTCCCCCTCACTGAAGTGCAGCCAAAACTGTAAAGGGTGCCTGTAAATGGTTCTCTGCAGGGAGTAAAGACCTGCGCGGAAGCCAGAAACGGAGACTGTTGCACTGATTTCTTAGACAGCTGCTTGGGGTGGACACCTCTGCGCTTGAGGGAAATAGAAAAGGGACGGGAAAAATGAGGCCAGAACTAGAGGCAAAAGGTTTTTATTAGCTTCTGATATTTCAACCCTACCTACTTAAGCTGCAGCTAAAACCAAAAAACATATCTTTGTAAAAAGGCTACCATAATCCCAAACAATCCATAGAAGTTTTCTGCATGTAGCAGCAGTTTAAATTCAAAAAGAACTTTTCAAGGTTTCATTTTCTAACAGCATCTTCATAGAGATAATATCCAAGTTCTTTTCCTAGGTACAGATACAAGGCAAACAAGCATCCTACAAAATAATCTATGGAAAAAGGTAGTGTAGGAGGGAAATTAAGAGAGTGTAATAATCCACTAGCCAAACACACAGTTTAAATGTAACACAACCATACCATCGATGAAATATTTAAAAATGAAAATAAATTAAGGTTACATCAAAGTTCCTGCTTTACTTCTGTTGTTGAACTCCTCAGCAGAGTACATACCACTGCATTATGGATCACGGCCGAGACTTAGCACTAGCATTAAAAAAGTTGCTATAGAAAAACTGGTACGAAAATAGAGCAAAACTGGAGACACTCCTTCACACAACTCTCGGATGGCTATAGAAAACTCCCCTGAATCACTTATTCAAACTAGGGCCATTTACCTTTAAAATCACTGGGAATTTCTGTAAGATCTTGGCTGCAAATCTGAACCGCCATGAAAATGGAGATTGACGTCAACGAGCAGCAATCCACACCTTCCGGTTGCACAGATGCCGTCTTACCCCTTCCACTGCTTAGCCAAGCTGCACATCTT